AGAGAGAGAGTTCAATAGATTCTCTATACACACCGTTGGAGCAGACGACTGTAGAATGACACGAGAAGTCAATCAGTGTTCAGGTTGCAGGATGAGGAGTAGCTGTTGCCTATGGTAGGTGACCACTCCTGCTGACCGGACAGCACCGATTCAGGTGCGGACTGTGAAAGCATCACATCCAATTCTCGCAGTTGCGGTTGCTGCACTGAATGGCACGACGTAGACAGATATCGCAGGCAACATGGCTCCCACAGGCAAGGAACATAGGGGCGCGCCGACCGCAATTGTAGAGGAATTGTCGTTCAAGCCCCTGTCTACAAATTGGACATGACATGTCAAGGTGCCGGACGTGAGTGCAATATCGACCGTCATCATACGTATGAAAACAGAAAGGCGCACGGGCTGTGCCTTCATAATCCTCATGACACAATGCATGCAGCCCACATGCTAGCCGAATCTCAGGTGGATCATCACAGAGTGGCATTGAGCAAGTGTTTTGGGTTTCCTCGGCATTGTTTCCTTCTCTATGGACCGACGACAACGACCGTGGCAAGAGGGGTTCATCCAAAACAAGGGTGTCTAGCTGCTGCAGGATTTGTTCTGCAACAGTTCGTCCTGGTGGTGTTAGCCCTTCGGCACAGTACTCTAAAAGCGGCTCATGTGCTACTCTATTTTCCTGCTCAGGCTGTTGAGTTTGCTGTTCGTCGGGCAAGAAAGAAAGAGATCCGATGGCGTTTGCAGTCATTGTATGCCCAACTCCGCATGTGGGACATGCTAGGAGAGGATGTGGTGGATGATGTCATTGTGGATAGTCCATGCAGTAGAGGCACATGCTTTCTAAGACAGCTTCCTAGAAACATTGATGACACATGGCATGTTGCTGACATGTCATCAGGAAGGCAGGTTGACGTTCGCAGCTATTTAAGCATTGCAGATTAAGGCCACGACGGCATATTGGGCAGGCGATTAGGGGGTGGGGGGGATGAACACAAGACCAAGAGTCGCAGTTTTCGCGACGGAGGCTGGCAGTGACCACCCCTGCATAGTGTTCGGAGCAGAGACTATGCACTCTGCATGCTAACCGAACTGTGGTTGTGTAGCCACAGAATGGAAGGGCATAGCCAACATCTTCTAAGGAGGTTCTTTCATTGTCTGGAGCAGAATCTGCCCGATCTACACAGGGAGGGGACATTGCTTGGTCATGTGCAGGGGAAGGAGGTAATTGTGCATCCGGATTGCTCTCCAGAGACTGACGCGCTCGTGGGTGCGAAGTAACATATTGTTCCTGAAGGACAATCCAAATTGAGTGAGCATTTGGTCCTAGGTTAATGCTACTTACTGTGTGCACCCTACCGCCATTGTCCCATAAGGCCCATGAATTGTCTGCAAAGGATGTACGCGTGAATTTTTGAGTTCATGTCTGGCATGTGGTTTTGGGGAGCAGGTTGCAGTTGTAGTCTTTTACCCATAAATGTCATAGACAAGACTTCTATGTTCACTCCAGGACCAGTACTGTCATCCTCTGGGCAGAGAGCACGGTGCTCTTCTTCTATCCAGTAGATAATATATTAGCAAAATCACAAACTGTGTAAGGGTTACAATTGTAAGCGAGCAGACTTACATTGACAGCACAGTATGCACAATCTCGCTGCACTATGAGACCATATGATGCTGCTGGTTGTGCGGCAAGGGGCAATTCATTCAGTTCTGTGGATTGCACGGCAGGCAGAGATTCAATGTGGTCTTGATCATTTCTATCAGGTTCCTCCGTTTGTGGAAACTGCATTGGCTCTAGCACACTCTCCGGAGAGAGGTCATCTCCAGTCAGGGGCTTCATCAAATGATCAGAAGGCAGGTCATGTGTGTGTGTGTGTGTGTGTGTGTGTGTGTGTGTGTGTGTGTGTGTGTGTGTGTGTGTGCGTGTGTGTGTATGTTTTGTCATGTTCGCTATATATAACTCGAAGAGAGTGTGTGTGCGGTCCCGGTTGGTGCTTCATTGACAATGTTCATGGGACGCTCGAC